TTGGAAGAACATTATTTGTATGAAAAGAATCTGTGGTTTAGATAAACTTGTTATTATTATATAATATGTTATTTATGYTAATGTGTAGGAAACGGTTGCTGTTAATAATTTAATAGTCGTGCTTTACTAAGTATATATTAAATTGCATTTCCCTTCTTTCCATGCAATGTTATCGGTTGTGATATGGTTTTGTTTATAATGTATTTGAAACTTTTATTCCTTGATTCCGYATTTTAGTCCCACAAAGACCTGTAAAGGACCTGAAAGGTATTCGTGATCACTTCAGTTCACATAGTCGTCAATAATTGAATAMCACGAACCGTTCTTTTTCATACATATAGCAGCAAAAAAGGCCTGTTGCTTTTGGTCTCCGAAGGCGACATTGTGGCTAAGCCGATGTCCAAACGCAGTAAGTACGCTATTTCATTCACAYATATGTGTTTATGTTTACTGTGATATCGGGGTTAGTATMCTTTTCTTCCATGTCACGATGGTCTGTTGCTAGGTCTTTTCCTCCCGCATCKCGGCCTCTGAAACTACCAGCGGCTCTTAAATTCTCTTCAGTAATATAGGGACAAATCTCTGTTCAAAATGAAGCAGGGTATTACGAAATGTGCATAAGAAGAATAAACGTTCATTTTGTTCGTGTTTACAAAAATTATGACGTCTGATACATTTTTGTAACACCATTGAAATACGTCAAAAGTTGCTCAGAAGGTTACAGACATTTTTGCAACACAAAATTAACAACTTTAGTGAAGACCCCATATCAATCGGACAAATAGTCACCAAGTTACAGCTAATTAAAGAAATTTAAATTTCCCGCCATATGACCATATATGGTAAAAATTAAGCCTATTTACAGTGGCCTTAGGATTGATTGTATCGTTAGAAAAATAGCATCAAAGGATATAAAACCAAAATCGTAGTTTTTTTGACTTTGGTTTTGGTATGCTATGATGCGTTTTTTGTCACGTAATACGTCACGTAATACGTCACGTAATACGTTGAATTTTGTACTATTGCTTTGAAAATTCGAAATTGTTACCTTTGTACTGGTCATGTGCAATGTATAAATCTGAAATGCTTTTGAAAGAAACGAACGAATCGCCCACTCGCCAATGCTGCTCGGTCCACGTGATTTAAAACAATACATTCCTCTGTCACCAATTTTGGTGTGGTCTTTCTTGACCGTATTTTGAGATTTCACTTAACCTCAAAGACAACGAAAACCTACTATGGGCATTAGATTACTGCATCAGCGCGAGGTCTGGCAATTTTATTCCGCGGACGGGGTGAGGCTATTCTATTTCCAATTTTTAARGCGGCTCAGAAAAAATCAAAGGCCGTATTTCGATTRTGCAGTACGATTCCATCCAACAAGATGCGTTCCATGACTGCATATTGGAGTGGCAGGAGTTTAATGGGTGCAGAGTGTCAGATGGAKTTATCGCTACCTCGATGGGCAGGATAGCTTCAGGTACCTATATAAACTCACACTATACCTAGTTCTATCTCTTTTATTATCGACGAAGGATAGCGTCCGAAACGTCAGTAAGTTATTTYACATACTTTTTTACGGTCTTAAATTTATCTTTTTTACACAACTGTTTCAGGGACCTACACGCTGGACTCAGTCCTGTTACCAACTCTGGAGGGTAGCAGCACGTCCATTTTTTATCGCCAWTGATTATCGCCAGCTCAAGGTCACATATCTATAAAATATCAAAGAAGCAAGATTTGCTGTGACTCCGAGTTTCGTGCTACGCAGTCATCAGACATAT